CCATTAGACATTGAACAAGAATTATTGGATCTTAATACTGTTGGTACAATGTCGATGACTAAAGCTGTTTTACCTGTCATGCTGGAAGCAAATAGTGGACAGATTGTGGTTGTCAGTAGTGTGAGTGGTAAATATGGTAAGTGTTCATTCACCCATCTACTCTATTCATTCATTCCCATCCACAGCCTTTTGGTTTTGAGTCATCATGGTGACTGGTAAATATTCAAGTAGGACCATTGCTAGTGACTTTCATTTTACTGTACAATGTTTTCATTCTGAAGCTTTGAAATGTTGTTCAATGATGATATTTGTTTACCAGGATGGCCTTACCAAGCTGCATATTGTGCCAGTAAATTTGCTATTCATGTAAGTGTTTATTATAAAGATATCAATGAAATATATAACTCAAGTTGAAAATATCATATCAACAGGTATCTCTGTTGGTATGGTAACAATAACTCAGCTTGCTATTTCAATAAAGACGTTTTGAGATGGCTGCTTTTCAGTTTCAATACAACGTTCACATMACTTTGAGATACAAATTTTATYTTCTCAAGTTCAAGTTAGATATCTCACTCTTTTCTCACTCATGAGATGGCAAATGAACACTTCAAGAAAAAATCAACATATTCCATGCACCAATGTGATATGTTGCTCTATTTATTATTCATCCAAGTAAAACAGCATGCTAACTTAAGTACAGCCATAATTCCATAATACCAAAACAATACTGATAATTCCAGGGTTACTTTGATACCCTTCGTATGGAGTTGAGTGATTCCAACATCAATATTCAGCTTCTRTGTCCAGGACCTGTGCATTCAAATGTGGCAGCTAATGCTTTTACATCAATCAAGGACAAGGTAAATTTCATTAAGGCCCATGTTTTTTTTATTTCTTCTTTTATTTTAATTATTTAGATTGTATATTTCAATAAAACAGCGTATTGTAACAGGTTGCATTATTCAAAAAGCTATGTTTTAGTCAAACAACAAGAAACCTAGATTTTGATGGATTTTTTTTCAATTGTCAATATAGCATTTTATGTGAAATAGATGCTAATAGTGCTGTTTCTTGTTATAAAGAGCTTCAAAGATTTGCTGTCATATACTGACAGTGGTGTGAGAATGCCAACAGAACGATGTGCCTATCTTATGGCTGTGTCAATGGCAAATAAATTGGATGAAGTTTGGATTTCAACCAACCCCATGCTGGCTTATACTTACATGTGCCAGTACATGCCAACAGTCTTTCAACGGTAAAAATATTCAAAACATCATACATGTACTTAATCAAAAACACACATCATTAATTTCTTTATGTAATGTTGCCACAGGTATTCAAAAGATAACTTCCTCAGCATTACAAAGAAGAAGTTCTTTAGTCATTGATGTAAGTACTTCTATATCTAACTCATTTGAATTAACTTATCCATTTATATATGCATTGACTGGTTTTATTTTAACAATTTTATTTTTTTATTATATATTTTTCAGATTAAAAGACAAAACACCACTGCAGCAATGAACCAGCGTAATTTGTGTGAAAACAATAAAAATGCGACTACTTGTTGGTCATGTAACTTATTGATTGTTTGTTTGTTTTTTGTTTCGTTTTGTTTTTTGTTTTTTTTTTTTGTTTTTTGTATGTTTTTTTTTTTCCTTCATGGTTTCTAAGAATTTGTACGTGTTACCCTTTTTAGACGATTTTCTTAATTATGTAAAATCAAACAAAGTGAAAATATCAGAAAATCTTGCGAGCAGAAATATATACATTAGAAAACTTTTCCTCCGTGTAGGGACGCCCTGAGTTTTTTCAGGACCGGCATGCTTTGCGAGATTTGGTCTGACAGATGGCCTTGCCGCAAAATTATTTTAAATTCACTATCAGGTGCATTGTCTTTTTCGGAATTATTCGTCTGACAACAGAAAGGAACAGCGTCTTGATTTACGTGTAATCCCTTCCAGAAATCGCTAAATAAGGTCAGTAACGTAGAACTTATGTTTGCTTACCAGCCCTACATTTTCTCCAAAAAATTGGCGAGTGAAAACGTTTTTTTAAGTAGATATCTATAACGAGTGAGTTGTGCCAAAACTGAGTGAGTTGTTGTTGTGGTTGGGTTTTTTTCGCTCGATATATCGTATATTCAGTTTGATTCAMTACACTAAACGTTTTATTTAAACGGTGACGTGTTTTTTTCCTATAGAARTTGCTCTCCTATAGTAAGCTTACATTTTTACTAAAATTAAAAATGGGAATAAACTGCTTGAAAGAACTGCTTCAYTTGAAAAGAGTGTTTAAATGTTCCATCGACAAGGGAGCAGCAAAGCGGCCAAAGTCATGAATAAAACCAAATTTCATGAATATTATTATTTGGCTGTTTTACCTTCCGCCTGTGCACATTTCGTTTTCAAATAGAGTCCATCATTGCGGTTGGACGTAGCATTAACCATTAGACATGCCACRAACGTATTGAAAATGGATTTAAAACATTTTATAACTTTGGTTGAATTATGGGCGGCATTGCACGGCTCAGTGGGGAAGTGTTTACAAGAGTTCATTCTGATGAGGAGTAATTATTCTTTATCAAGGTTCGTTTCCCATATTTCAATTCCATTCAACAGTGTAACGTCCCAATGATTGAAAAGGTCAATAGACGAAACATTGAAAGTCCTGGTCTTCCTGTGTCAAAAGATATTGTTTAAAAACCGAGTTCACTAGCCTGTGTACATCCGTTTCTCACCCCTCCAAAAAAATCGGTGAGAAACGGATGTACACAGGCTACGAGTTCACATGTACCATGAATTTTACAAAGGCTCGCTTTGATGATATCGGCTGCACGCAGGCTATTTGATGATGAAATTTAAGAAAATTTATAAACAAATCCATTCCCATTTCGTCATTCTTGTTATTCATGAATCCCAGGAGAATGTAGAACGAAGGCTGTTGTACTATATTCATCCATTTTCACCTATTTTCGTTCATTTCTATCTATTTTCACCTATTTTCGTTGATTTCAATCTATTTTCACGTCATCAGGTTTCTGATGTTGCTGCTGGTTGTAATAGTCGTATTTATTTGTCCATCAAATGGTGTATATCAACACAGTCATGAAAGAGATTTAGGTAACTTCATTATTTTGGGATAAGTCCTTAGATTGTATGTTAACATTTTTAATGGCGTCAAATTGATATTGATCTCCATGCTTTTGTGTCTGCCGCCTTTTTCTTGATTTTTTGTCCTGACAAATATCGTCTGATATAGCGCCACATGCGCCACATGTGCTCATATAAGGGAATCCGCCGTGAGAAATCGATGATTCCGGGATCAYGGATTCTCAATACATTTGATTTAGGATTACAAATTGAAAGATTACAAGTATTTCACGGGAAAGTATTATTATCGCATGGGATTCAATATATAAAGTGTGTGGATTTTTGGCATAAAAATCCCTGGTTCCAAGCCTTGGAAAATAAAGTTATATTTCAGACGGAATCTKGATTTCCTTGGACGTGATTAAACCCCTTTCCCTCCGTCCCAGTCCTCTCATTGACATGTTTKAACCCCGGCAGGTCAACCAAGATGTGGTATGAGGTTTATCTCTGATGAACAAAAACGTATCGTGGGAGGTAAAGTAAGTAAGCATGGCGCATGGCCTTGGCAGGTAGCACTGCTGGTCAAACGGATGAACGATTCACAAKCCTGCGGTGGATCACTWATCTCTCCTGAATGGGTGGTTTCTGCAGCACATTGCTTTCAGGGTGAGTCATGAATTGATTGAAAACGATTAACACCCAACAAAATATATAATAGTATCCATTAAACGATGATAGTGACTAACTAAATACTATATTGATTTAATTTCTTTTTTGTAATACGAATTGCTTAATTTTTTTCAGACAATTTTAAAAACCCAAAGGAATGGAAAGTAGTTCTAGGAGAACAYCACCTGAAAGATRTGGACTGGTTTGAGCAATCCAGGTCTGTTAGTGCTATTTACAATCATCCTGGCTATAAACCTGCTAAAGAAAAGCCTCTTAATCAAGACACTTTATTGTCCATTCCACCCGACTATGATTTAGGTACATAAACTTCAATTATTATTATTAACAATTAATGATATTAGCCTGATAGTAATAGCCTGGGTGCGACCTAATGGAAGCTTATTGTTATCCCTACACTTTGCGAACTTCTCTGGTAACTCCATTTTCCTTTGCTTCAGTTAGTTTCGTTGAGTTTTTCTTTTCTTCACTTCGATTACTGTTTTTATTGATTCCCCCCCCCCTCCCCCCCTCGAGCTCGACACATGTAAAGTTAACGTATAACGTTTTTTAGCTGTACTACGTCTCTCAAAGCCAGTCCACTTCAATGGTTTTATCCAACCAATCTGCCTGCTTCCGAAAGGGGCTCGATTCCCTAAAGGAAAAGAGTGCTATGTGACTGGATGGGGACAAACAGCATGGAAAGGACACAAACCCGACACACTGAGAGAGGCCCTAGTGCGTTTAGTCCCCATGGACAAGTGCAATAGTGTAAAGTCCTACAAAGGGCAGGTCACTGAGCGTGCTTTGTGTGCTGGATTTGAACAAGGTGGTGTAGACGCATGTCAATATGACAGCGGTGGTCCGCTGGCTTGTGAACATGACGGGCGCTGGTATCTAACGGGTGTGGTATCCTGGGGTCATGATTGCGGCAAACCACATAAGTACGGTGTGTATGCTGACATGGAGGACATGACYCAATGGGTTGTGGATACCATAGCACAGCACAATGAGGAATAAAGAATCCAGTCAAAAATATAACTTAATACAGGCATTTGAAGAAATTTTGACCTTGAGAATATCAACATATAGTGTAGGAAGAGGACGTTTTAAATTGTCGATAAAACGACACGATATGTTTGAATAACACTTTAATAATTCCAGAGAAAAGAACAAAAATCTCACGAAATCACCCATGATGCAACATAATATATTACCGCGGTCAGAATTTTTGTAAATCACTGTATTTCAAGAGAGTTATATTATAACGTCAGACATTTGACGAAAAGCACTACAACTAGTGGATAAATATTGAATAAATAGGCGAGATGTGTAAATAAAAAGCAACCTATGTCAGACGACGCTAAATCCGTTTTTTTTTAACAGTTAGATTTTATCGCTGGTGGTCTTTACCAACAAATATTATCATTCATTATTGATTACCAATTGGAACGAATGGACGGGTGACTGGGTAAATAAATATGTTATTCAAATTGTGTACTGTACAAAGGTAATAATAAAAAAGAGCTTTGGAAACATCTTGTTTGTCTTGCTTTAACTCTATGACGTGCGTMTTACGTGCGTATTACGTGCGTGTTACGTCTTTTGTGGTTTGCGGAGTCGTAAAGCTATTCTACTATYCTACCTACTGAAGGCCTGGAGGGTTAGTGGAATGTTATTTTTCATCAGATTGGGAAGTGATTATAGCCTTATACCATGAAACATCAAAAAGACATGATTTTCGGTGAAATTAAGTAAAAGACGATATTTATATTTTTATGTTTTTTTTATAAAAACGTGTTTTCYAATGAAATGTTATTTAAAAGGCATAAAAGAAGTGATTCTTATTGTAGTTAGATCTTGTGCAACTGAGTAGTTAATCAAATCACAATGAGCTTTGTTTGTAATTCTTTTATTTGGAGATTCTACTGKATCGTATACATGCATATTTATTAGCAGGATTAGTTACATTGATTTGTTGGTTTGTATTCATTTATGCGACAGAACACTGCGTTGCTTCATCTGTATTTCCAGCCAGGGWGTCATGACCTGCATGTTGGCATACACCCCGTATTTATGGGGACGTGCACATTCATGTCCCCAGGATACTATTCCAGTTAGGTACCAACGTCCATTTTCCTCGCATGACAAAGGACCACCACTGTCAAACTGACAGGAATCGACCATTCCTTCCTTGAAACCAGCGCACAAGGCYCTTCCATGAACGGTTCCATTGTAGGAATGTACATAATTACAAACCCATGTAGGGACCAATTTCAACTCCGCCTCATTTAGACCCTCTGGTTTTGTGCCATTCCACTGAGTATGTCCCCATCCAACGACGGTGCATGTTTTCTTCCAAGGGAACTTTTTACCAGGGGGCAAAAGACAGATTGGGGATACATATCTGTCATAAACAGCTGGGCGCTTTAACTGAAGAAGAGCTGAAAATTAAATGAAATAAAAAAATGGTTGCAAGGTCGAAACAACTATAAATATTATTACTAGGATAGTGAAGTTCACTCCTCTAATCCAACTCGGTTTTGTCGTGCACTTCAAGTTTCGAGAGACAGCTGACCACTGAAGGTTTTACGTCACATAACTTATACGCAATGCATTGTGGGACAAAACATGGCGGATCCCAGATATGGATCACACAATGCATTGCAAATCACCAGAAATCACCTAGGTTACATAAAAAATTTTGAAGTCTATTATCAATTATGACATCCAATAACGGTCGGCATTAATTCCGGTTAACAATAATAYGCATACCAATATCAAAGTCTGGAGGAGTGTCGTAGATCCCTTCCAGAAACATGGATTTATACAGAGGATGAAGGATGATGTCCTTCACATCAATGGTTTGTTCATACACCTCTTTTTCTGCCAACTTGTGTTCACCAAGAACRACTTTCCAGAATTTAGGATTGGTAGATGTGTAACTATCTACAAATATTGTAAAGAATCACAATCAGACATAACTTTACTCAACCGGCCGCCATCTTGAATTCGATTGCCAGGGAGCAGTAACGAGAAATTTATTATTACTGTGTGTCAAAAAAGCATGATAATTTTGGCATAGACTTAAATTAGCACATCCTATTTAGCTCAGGTATACATGTGGGAGTCTAATGGCACATCATAGCTTTACGGCCCAACTGGATCTGCTCCGGACATTATCAATTCAAGATGGCGGCCGTGTCGGCAATGTAAAGGTCTATCAGGTTGGTTCTTTGCTCTGATTGGATCAAGTTGACTTCCTGATCACTACATTAATTCATTTTTTTTAACTGATGTCTTCACATGCTCTACTAAAGAAATATTATGTTACCATGGAAACAGTGAGCAGCGGTTGCTATCCATTCTGGTGATATGAGTGAGCCTGCGCAGTACTGTGTACCGTTAAGAAGTAACGCCGCTTGCCATGGCCATGAGCCAGGCACACTCGGGCGACCACCGACGATTCTCTTTCCCTCAACTATTGGTCGTATACCACATGCTTCACAAACTGAAATGACAACATAATATATGGATAATACTCATGATTTCAGCTCGTACTGACACGATAGATATTGAAACGACATACATGGTGAAGTGACACCAACGTCATCGTATTTTTATGTCTTTTTAGTTTTTTTCTATTGTTTTATTGTGGAATCATATTTTCCTGAACATGTTACATCGCTTAGAGAAAAGGTTGTAGCCTTTGGCACTGAAACACTGTTTGACTCTTCATATTTGCTTTCCCATGATCCCTTTCGGTCTCGTTTTGATTAAGTAATCTTATTTATTTTCCAATACGGCCGCCCCTCAACAGAGGATTATTGGCCGGGAGGTCAGGAAATWACATGTACTCTGTGATCTTTTTTTAAAAAACTTCAATGCTGGAGGCTGGCGAAAAAGCATTTTCAGGCAGTGAGTTCCAAAATTTTACAGTTCTTGGAAAAAAGGATAGGTTTTCAGATTTATTTTTGTACATAATAGTTTTAAGGGTATGGGCTTTCGTATGACGGCTAACTCGGTCCGGCTTTGCCAGGAGCTCTTAAGCATTTACTGCAACATGGTTGTTGATGATTTTGTACAGCAGGGTGACACGTGAGAGTTCTCTCCTCTTCTCTCTTTTSGTGTATATTAGCATATTGTTATACGAAGTGATAGAAATTTTGTACAAAACGGTGMAAAACAAAGAATGCATCCTTATCATATTTCACTTTTTTAAGTATTGACAAACTGTCAAGAAAAGTGAGCTGATTTTCTCTTGCAAACCGGGTGTTGATGAAGGTATTTTTTTCGTATGAATGTGGAACACCTAACAACTGAAAACTAGAACATGCCGCAGATGTTAGATCTTGCTGTGAAGTTTATCAGTAGTTAATAATACTGGTCATGAATGAATATATAGAATATCATAAAAAAGTATTCGGCTCACCATAGGTACAGATATTGAATACACTATAATTCTAGGATTAATAATAAACTAAACGTTTAATCCCGAAAAAAATGCTATGAAAAGAACAGTGGTGGATGAATCCTCCCCAGTCGGAACATTTCATTTCATTCAAAAMGATGAGGAAATGCAAGTCATCGTTGAAATATATTWTATTGCGTGAAAAGTTTTGTTTTCTTACTCTATCGATTGATTTGATATGAAAGAGATGCTATCTGCAACATGTCGGTTATATGGACAATTGAGAAATCTTCATATTTTATCAATATTTGTTCATAGACGTAAATTATCAAGCATTCATGGTGTCTTTCACATTTTCTTTCTTTTAAAATATATTAGATTACATTGTATACTATAATTTATGTATTTCCATGTATTTCATCTTTGCGATATAGGCGGACCCAGTCAGGATGTCCTAATCTTACAGGATTGTTTTAACAGAATTTAATTTCATTTAAATAAAGACTTCTTTCTGACATATGATATATACATATTTCTCATTAAGTTCATTGAAAATGTCCCTGATCTTAAAGAAAACAGTTTGACAGGAAAGATATTGTGGTATTTGGTAATTTTCTTTATTTGTTCATTTATTATTGATAGCGTTAACGATAATATCGACCACGTAGACCATTGAACATTGATTAACATGCTTTGAAAAAAAACTTAGTAATAATAACACAGCTTGGCTAGTCGTTTGTCATTCGAAGGAAACGTATTAGACCGTCTGTTATGGACAAACGAACCTTGCGGAACGCCTTCTTGTAAATAACGATATTAATTGTTAAACATGGTGTTCTGAGCAAATAAACTCTATGTSTGTTTTGAATACCGTTTGTCAATGATGAGAGGCGTTATGTTTATAAGCTAGTCTTCCCAGCTATATCTTGAGGGTTCTTAGAACAACACGTACGCGACTAGGAATTAAGTCCATTTATGAAGACACAAACTTCCGATCATGAAGGTTTCTATTTCATATTCCCCTTTGGATTAATGTTAAAGCTTTTATTTGGTTTCCTGGCATTACGTGATAAAGGGACTATTTTTTCTTGAATGTAAAGCTGCTAAACTCTGTTTCATTAGTTGCATTACGGTCCATGCCATTAAAAAAAGCTTTCATATATATAATGTTTAAAATCATAAAACTACTGAATGGAGCACAAGAAATAGTTGTCAGCTTGAGAAATTGTTTTTACTTGAAGTTTGTTCTGTAAAGGATTCTAGATCCTCGCCCATCGCATTCCGAAACGACCGCAGTGGCTGCCATATATGTATCTTGCATATGCAATCTCGCCTAATATTGCTAAAAGATTGCATGTCCACATCTCGTCCGTACGTCCAAGTACATATATTTTATTCACTCATACACACGAGTAAAGAATCATTGGTTTCTATTCGCGACTAGGTTTTAGCGCTGAATACTGACAGTCAAATGTGAATCCCACTTAGTGTGTTAGTATACATGATTAGATATAAAAACAACGCTGTTTTCGCTTTTAAGTTTTAAAAAGCTACATTACGTGTACATTAGGAATATGTAAAAATTGCAGTCAAGAGGTTGAATTTTCGTTGGCTGCAAGATATTAGTTCGAATGTAAAATGCTTTCAAGCTCATAATTCCCACTTCAGTAAAAACGTTTCTTGGCTTRAAATCAATCACGAATGCAAGGTTTTTATTGAATATGGTATTTTATTCAGTTTAGTCACCTCACAGCACAGATGTTCAGAGGTGTAAGTCTCCCAGGTTGATCAGAATTATAAGCCAATACTTGATCTTCTACAGACTCTTAACAAAAAAATTAATCAATTTTGCCTMCAAAACACTTTTCTTAATATAATGATTCCCAGACGAAAAATTGACAAATTAGATAGAAAAAATCATTAGACATTTCATATTTTTAGAATTAAAGTCATATTTTTTTATCTGCACATTAACAGATAAACGTTTTGAAAGAAAGAATGAAGCAAATAGTTGATTCCGTTGAACTGACAACAGTCAAATTTTGCAAAAGATCGAAAATTCCTCAAATCGCAAAATGTATGAATATAGTAACTTCTTTTTTTTTATGTTGGTGTTGACTCAAGTAAAGTATGTTTGTATTTTATATTGGATGTTTATAATTTTGATATTGTAAGCTCGAGTGAATGTTTTGTAGAAGAATCGCTGGGAATCAGGAAAAATGAAAAGAACAACAAAAGGAAGCGGTTAAAAATTTGTCGTTGATTTATATCACCAAGACTTGTTATTGCTGATAATTTCTGTTTATCATTTTTGTTATTTTTTCGATTTTTAACCAGCTGTTGTCTTCATTCTTTCGTTTCCCACTGTAATCKTATTATGGTTTTTTAGCAGAGCTAGAATTTTGAGTATTCAAATACTTACCCGAGACAGTATAGGCTGTCAACAGGAACAACAACAAAAGTGTCCGTTCCATGCCGTACTTGACAGTGAGAGATAGACAGCTAGCAATGGAATCTACTACATTCGTCACAAGGACTATTTTAAACGAGCTGTATTCCAACCAATAGGAACACAGCACTAGACTGAACCAAGAAATCATTAGCTCAAAACTCAGTGAAGTGCTAGTCAATTGTGAAAGAGCTTGGTAACACATTATTGTAATGATATTGATGATGATGATGAAATTGAAAGATAATTACCATGGTACCGTTTGAAAAACCCAAACAAAAATCGAAAATAAAAAATAAATATTGAGTTTTGATTAGCTGATTGATAATAAATCGAAAGTTTAACAATTTGGGAGTTTTTTAGTTTGATCATCGACCAAAACCAATTCTCCATAGTGCCTCATAGTACTACGCTATAATAGGGAACCAATATAATTGGATAGAAGTAAATCACATGAATTTTAAAGAACCAGGAAGCCTTCGAGTCTTTCTTGGGTAAATGTATTTGGGAATGCTATTATTATCATTGCTTTCGGCGCCGGGCCAATAAATCGCCGAGTAGTTTTTACTTCAGTTAAGTGGAATGAAAAAAGGGAAAATTTATCTCATTTCCACAAACCACGATTAAAGCACATGTAAACCACAATCACTTGTCTTCTAGCATTTCCAAATCATATAAAARTTGTAAGAAATATTGTCAACAATTTACACTGCATATTCTACTAGTCGTCGTTAATTGCTTTCACTTTATTCAACGCTTTTCTCAAAACTCACGAAAATTGCAATACAAACCTTTTTTAATTCGATAATATCTACAAAGATAGGCGGCTAGTCCCTTTAGGGCTAGTATTTAGAAACTAGAAGAATATGTGTATCCCGACAATACTACGTGCTGACTTTTTCCAAACTATCCGTCAATATTTCTTGATATTGTCTCAACCAGTTTACAATGTTGAATATTGGCGAATAGTTCGATACATGAGTTATATTTTATTCTAGAAATAAGAATTTACAATTTCACATGCTACACTTCATAAGAACAGTTTTGCCTAACACCTACTTTAAACCTTGATTAAAAGTTGYACCATTAATGGTTTGAGTCGCTACTTCTAACATACCAATTGTGGACTTTCTGTGGCYAGGYCATGTTTTCATTGTGAACAGCTGTTATTGGTCGACTAGAAATCTTGTAACCAGCAAGTGYTTACCCAGCAGCCAATGCTGGACCTTCCCACAATTCATTGCTAGCYTCTGGTGACGTACATGTTGGATTTCTATGGTACAAACGAGACAGTACAGTGTACATGATGTAATACTGTTGATACCTTGGGATTTCTGCTCAAGTACCAGTGTAAACACTACAGATTCTTTTCAGTTCAAAAAGTTAGACTCCACTCTCCTGTTGAGTAGCYAGTCACRATCAGTCTTTCCTTAGTAAATCAAACGGTTCGACTTCAACCTTGAGAAAAATCTCGTCATCTTTCAAAAATCCTTTGTTTTTGATATTCTCGTGTTTAGCAAACTTCCAAATACCAACGCCAGGGTTTTGATCTGTTTTGGGTCTTTGCCAACCCTCTAGGGTAGTGTCAGGAATGATRTCCATCACAATATTCTTTCTTTCGTTTTCATCATGTCTTTGATCCATTAATGTGAATACAATTTTAGTCGAGTATGGCCATGGTAGTAACGCGTCGAATTTCCCTCTCACTAGATTAATATACACCGATACATGCGTCCCTTTGGCATCACCATCGCCGTTGAATCCCACACAAACTCGAAATTTGTAACCGTACCTTCCTGAGAAGAATGGATCGCTGTATAAGTATCTTTCTTTCCCCTGTCTAGCATCCGATAGTCGTTGGTCATATTTATTAATGCGCCATAAGAACCTTCCGTCATATTTAGTTGGCTGTCTCTCCAGCTCAAAAATCCGTTCTTTCAATTCTTCCACCTCTTCCCATTTCTTCTGCATTTCACAATTTAGTTCTCTTTGTTGGAGTTCTTCCACCTTCAGACGCTGGTAGGTAAAGTCCAAGTGTGACTGAACGGATAACTCCAGGTGCTTTTGCAATTCGGATCGCTTCATCTGTGAAACACATCATCATCATCATCATCRTGGTCTGCATCATATTCATCGTCATCATCATGTTTTGATGTCTTTTATATTAAATACAGATTGCGTTACCTTGATATTGCATCCTATATCAGTATAAGGACACTCTACGACGGCCAGTGGACAGCAGTTCTTAATATGTTCGTTCATCTAGAAACAGTTTTTTAAAAAATAGTTTACTCGTATATAATCATCTTAATCATCATCATAGTCATGGGAATGTGTGACCATAAATACATTTCATTCTTAGTAACTTTAGTTGAGTGATTATTAGCATTTTAGTAATTATTGAATTAATATAAGACTTTATGTTAGATAAACTTTTAGCGCTTCGATAGCGTCATTTTCAATGTTGGTAATGACGTCATGTACCTCTCGTCTTGGGATGGCTTTGGTATTGCATTGATTCGTACAAGACATTGGGAATAACGGGCACGTCATGATGTGATCCTAAAATCCAAAGATTGACCAGTTATTTGGTGGTTGGTTGGTGCTTGGGTGGGTGCTTGGGTGGGTGCTTGGGCTGGTGCTTGGGTGTTTGAGTGCTTGGGTTGTTTAGGTGTTTGTTTGAGTGGTTTGTTGGTTGGGTTAATTTGTGTTTGGGTTGATTAGTGTATTAAACTGATTACCTCTTTCAGACACAAAGAATAGTATTCAGTGCAGTGCTCGCATTGGATATTTCGCCAAATACACTCTTCTTGTGAGTGCTTCAGCTCATCTTTTCTTTCTACAACTTTATCGCAGTTGTAATTGGAGCATGAGATTCTCTCCAGCGGGCATTTATCACGGTGGTTCTACATATAAACATTAAAATAAAATTGAAATTTCAATACGCTAATAGTCTGTCATCGTTGTTAAYAGTACCTGTGCATTTGAGAGTTCACCGGTCCATGGACACCCTTTACTTGAATTTAAACACTTCACTTCTAATACTAAGATAGCTCGTTTACAAGCCTGGTCTGTGAACACCTAAAACCATCAAAGGCAATGCTCACACATCATGGAAAACCTGACGTTATTAACTACGATACCCGAATCGTAAGTTCTCATTTATTGTATTGATGAAAACTTCGCTCACTTGAACAATTTGAATGAAGTTCACAAAATAGAACGCGAAGGAAAAGTTTTTTCTCTTCACATACCTCGTCAACCACTATTTCTTGTCGATCCAAAGGACAAAGAGGTTGTTCTTGCCTGAAAGTAATTCATATCACAACATGTCTTGGCTATTTTGGTCACTGATAAAGCTTAAATATATTTGATAAGCGAATTACATCGAGTAGATATGTTTTTTTATTTCGATGCATCATTCAATGTAGACATTCACAGGAAGGCAATATATTTTATCTTGTTTTTCTCTGTATGCATCAAAAGCGGAAAATTACTATTAATAGCTGATTATCACGRCGTATAAACTATGGTGTTGAAGTTAGCTGCAAAAGAAATGTCCAAGTTCTTTAAGCAAGATATCAGTTAAGCCTTCAATTAAGTTTAATTTCTTTAGATTGCAATGCATTTTATTCAGTATGTTTTTAGTTTTATTTTCGTGATCAAAGGAAGACGGTCCAATATCACTTCTTAATGCATTTCACTCGATCAGTCATCATGAGTCGTGATTTTTGKTGTTTTTGGTCAATGCTGAAGCAAATTAAAGTAACAGAGATGAATTATCGAGGAAAAGCTACAATACTATRATTAAATAGTTACCAAAACAAAAAGAACTGGCAAAAAGGYGTGTCTTCCGAAGTTTACCTTAAAACAGGTTCTAAACATTTCATGCAGTACCGATGTCCACATTTCACGATTTGCTGGGGTTCACACAGTAACATCTGACATATTGGGCATTCATAATCCCTTGGTAAAGGGTTGACAGTCTCATAMGGATACTCTACACTCCTGTCTACCATTGCGTCAGATCAAACAACTTCAATAACATGTTCATAAAGCGGTAAGAGCGTCAAGTACTTTTACTGTTTATGTGTGTCATAAAAGAAGAACCAATAGAATGRCTAGCCTTGGCCTTGAMTACTGTAAGAGCGACATTAAGCAGGGTATTTTTTCTGGTTTACTTTTTTATTGCTTAGTAAACTTGGCCTTTACAAAAACACCACAGCAATAGTATGTTAACTGACAAAAACATTATGAAATAAAGTGATCTTAGAGAAATACTATCTACTTTTTATTATCAATTTAGAAACTTTTGTTTGATAACAGTTACAGCGTAAAGGTATAGTCGTATAGAGTGAAACTATCTCAATGGCTTCAGTTAAACTGGGCACCAAACATTGTCTTTGGCCTGACACTCTGAGATCATGTAACTGTCAGTCGCTATTCATAGATCTATCATAAGGATGCTACATCATCCCATCAAGTCTTTRTCAGTAAGCAGTTCAACATGTGTAAATGATCAATCACTCCACTGCTATACAGTGCTTTTAGTCTTTAAATAATGGAGCATTTGCTAAATCGCGTGTTTTGTGAGGTGTCAGAGTCGAGATTTTCATCTCTTTTTCTTGAGCAACGGCAACCACACAACATTTTYTTGTATTCATCGCGAAATGTTTTGTTCATGACACCATAGATGAAGGGGTTGAGGGTGGTACTGAGCTGACCAAGGAAGGTATACATGAGGTAGACATGACGAGACAGCGCCCATTTCCCYTGACCAAAGCCTATAAAATCCACRATACTAATGGGTATCCAACATATCAGAAAACCACAYACTGTTATGAACAACGTCCATGTGACATTGATGTCTTCGATGGACACACGTCGGGTAGAAGTATGCTTAGTGTTSGACTTTCTGAGGCTTCGTATTCGTTTTTGATGCTCGCGTAGCATCTTAAAGACCTTAAAGTAACAGGATGTAAGCACGAAGATTGGAATGGTTACGTACACGTATCCAAGTAATGTGTAGAAATCCACTTGAACAACTTGAAAACAGAACACTTTACCAGCGTGGTACTGGTATCTATGACCTGAAACACAGAGAAATGCGTTAGAATCGATGGACTTAAATAGCTTTGTATTGAATAAGAAAAAAAATTGATAATTACTCTAAAAAGAAAGACAATATTTAGTTTACTGTGGCTTGTTCCCCTAAAAAATGGTCATTGTTGTTGAKTTTTAGGCGTTTCTTTGTTTCATTTTCGTTGTACAGAACTTTTCATTTCCAAAGCCAAACCTTTATTTTCTTGAATTACCTGAGAGCAAGTAGGGTAAAGGCTCAGTACATGACAACARCCAAATAGAAAGRATCATAATCTTGGTGTTCTTAGGGGTGAATGCTCTCTGATACAGCTGAGGTTTCACGATGAGAAAGTATCTATTGATTGCTACAAGAGTCATTGTCAACAGCGAGACACATGCTAACGACGCTATAGCAAAACCTTGAAGTTGGCAGATAAATTCACYAAATGTACGATGGCCMGCTATAAGGACGGACAGGCACGGAGGAGCGCATATCGACGCCATCAGAATGTCAGCTAAAGCAAGTGAAACAACGAARAGATTTGGAATGGTTCGTAGATTCTTATTYTTGTACACTATCCAGAGAACCAGGAAGTTGCCAAAAAGAGCAGCTACAATGAATGAAGCACAGAAACATGCTTCCAGTGTCGATAGGTAGTAAGGACGATTTGCCAAAAGAACCTCGTACTTYCTYAGTGAAGGRTCTRCGGGAGAAGACATGGTTTGACTGTAACAATCACTCTGCTTGTGCTTTTTAGTCTCGTATGAAAATCTATACTTTCATTATGTTCAATTCTTATTCTATTGTTGTCTTTGACAGCGGAGATGTWCATGTGATAAGCGCGTTCCCTCGTTACATTCAAGTGTCAAATTATAGTTCCAACTAGCACATGGCTTATAGAGAGATCACATACAACCTTCTATAAATAGATTTAATGCAGCTAGAAATAAGTCTTTTATAATTATTCTCGTTAAGAATTAAGAAGCATTGACCATTATCGTGTTGTAGGTAATTGGTGGGGGGGGGTAGGGTAAGGGAAATGACTGTTCTAGGATTTTAGCTTATTTTATTACACACATTTGGTTTGTTCATCAATGTGAAACTAGTGAAAGAAGGTCAGACATCAAATCATTCAAAGCATAAAGATTATATACTTTTTATTGTGCGTGAATTTAATTAACGTCAGTGGACCTGATGCGTTTCTCTCAGGCTCCACTAATGGAAAATAGCTCCAAGTAATAATCTCTTTTAAGAGGTTTGCTACTGAAAGTTTTTACATAATTGTCCCTTTAAGGAACAATCCTTACAAAAGACTGATGCTGAGAACTGCTTGTTCATAAATGTACTTTTGTTTATGTATTCAGCTTTGCCTGCAGGTAGCAGAATACAATTTTTCGGACCATTCTGCCTTGTAACACGTCAAGTTTCTGATTTGTGACTTGAAGGCAGTTTTGAATATGAAACTTTCCTGTGTGTTATATGTATGCCGTGTCATCATATATGCTCCAATATAAGTTTAACAAGTTTCAATGTTTTGATGCGCCAATGCCGCCGGATTGATGGGTTTTTCTACATAAAATTGTCGCACAAGACAAACGAGTTCCTCGTACGTTCCTTCCTCGTCRCCGCCGCCATCTTTCTTTATGGTTTGTGTTTTTGCTTTACATTCTTCGTTATCATGAGTCTCTTCTTCTACATCAGAAATGCTTAATCTACAAAACAAATTCAAATTATACCGACTCAGAACAGCAGTACTAGTACCGGATAATTAAAACAGTGAGTTTTAGTAGGGTAATACTAGATGTTTGCTCAGTTTGCCCAAGAAAAAGGCGCACGTGAAAACGTCATTCAYCATTCTCTGTCATGACAAAACGTACTCGCTCTATAATGGATGCTCTCTTATCGACTGATCTCTGTAAATCGTCTTTTAAACCTCCTTGTAAAATTCCGGTAATTCTAAGTGACATTATCTTATAAGATGAATAAACTATACTTACATAGAAAGTCCACTATCGTCCAGGAGCTCCGATGAAGTACTTGATATAGTTCGTTGAGGTGCAYTACTTGATTTCGCCTCTAAAAATTGATAAAAAAAACAAAAATAGGAATGCTTTACTGCAGTGAGYTAAATGCATTTATTATAATGTTTATATTACTACTGTAGACACATTTGAATTGAAGGTTTCCTTCGTTGCCATAGTCACAATGGTTGAGCGGTAAGGGTGAAGATGGTGGACATCCGTCATGATCGTAGCATTGTTTACAAAGACACAGAAATGGATATTTAGCTAATSTCATATGTGATGTCATGAATGAAATATTCCATAGCACCGTCGATGAATATTGCYCTAATATTCTCAACATGGAATAAACTACAGACTCACTTGAATTCACATCGATTATTTTACCTGTTTCTGTGGGCTTTTGCTGATCTCTAGAAAAGGTTTTGTCGTATTTTGATTCTCTGTTTAGTTGATAGGATTTATGATCTGTTTTTGTCGGACTGTCATCGCTAGATTGTCGTTTGGTGTGCTGTATCCGTGAAAGTGCTTCGTCCTCCATCATTATGAACACGCCAGACTGATTTCAAATGGAATACTGACTGACAATAATGTAAAAAAATTAATATGAAGCAGTTTTTTACCAAACTAAAGGGTATTTGCATCAGACTGCTATGAGCCGTTACTTGATTGGTTGATCACTAGTAATCATTTCTATAATTTATGAATGACAGGTGGTTCTATAGGACACGTGATCGACGTGTCTTCCTCTACACCTTGAATGCTGTACTTACCATTCAGTCGTKGMTCTCGATTAGTTTCYTTCGCCCTATTTTTGACTGATAAATTGCTGAATATTTTATTCAATAGTCGTCATAGCAACTGAAACGTATGGCGGGAATTTGCTYTATATGACTGGTACTCCGTCTCTCGCGGCGTTATACGTCAGATAAAAGATTCGGTATTTGACTAACACCTTTGAAAAGAAAACAAAGTTTTAGACGGAATTTTAAAGGAATTTTGAATGAATAGCAACGATAATATTAACACTGATGTCTTGACTTAAATACTTGTCATTCACTGTTGCTTTTTGRTAATTTTATCCAATAAATAAAACACTTCAGTATAGTGCGATGGGCTCGTTTTCCTGTTAGTTACAGTCATTYAATGTCTCAGTGTTTATTATCAAATGCATTTCTTTAAAATGTTGTTTTCATTTGATCCTATTTACAATCTGATCGAAATCAAAACTATCGAAACACATATTTAAAAAAAACAGAAGAAAAGAAAGAAATTCAAAAAATAAATATAAAGAAAAATATACAATCATATCAGGATTCGAACCCTTGACCATAATATCGAAAAAAAGGTTGGGACGATTCCCCCGAGACATTCTGTGAAGCTGAGGCGTCGAATCGATTTACATTCCGGTTAGAGGTTTCGGCTCTTCCATGCTATCCCGATAATTGGTCCTAACTTCGCGCTAACTAAAAAGCCAGTGAGGGAGAAGCTATCCGGCCCCTAGACACTGATGGATAACCCCTTGCACTAACTAGGCAACTATCGAAAGTATAATGTCAAATTGGGGTAGTCTATTCGGTGAAAGTGTCAAGTGGTCTATTATTATGTAAATGAGAGTGATCCAGTGGCGCACCGCGTTAAGGCGCCGCTTGCAAATCCAATGTAGGTTTGACGGTAGCGGGATCGATTCCCTGGAGGAGACGTTTAATGATTTTGTTTTTTCCTTTTTATTTAATTTATTGTTTATCTTTTTTTTATTTATTTATTTTTGCATAATTATTG